CATCCACCCATTGTGCTGAAGACCCGGCGGAACGCTCGATTTGAACGCTGCACCGGAGCCCTAGTTACATGGTGACACCTCAAAATTGATGGTTGCTCACATGTTGGCCTGCTCGATGTCTATTCGAATGACATCAGTTTCATCTTGGAGCTGTCGATTCAACCTCGCAACAAAAAAATAGAAAATCAAAACAACAACAGCATTTCCTGCAACATTGGCTTCGTTCTGGATTGCATGGAGGCAGTTGCTCGAGCTGTTCCCTGTGAGCATCCTGCAGGCTTCACTGCCAGCTCATCTCAATGCCCCACATCAAGAAATACAAACTTTCAGATTTCTACTGCAAGGTTTGGGTGGATTGATTTCGACCCACACCCAAATTTCGCTGCCATATGTGGGGAATCCTACTATACATAACCTCCCTACCCCCGAAAATACGATATGCTTTCGTTTGGAATATCATGCTTGAGTCTCACAGACCTGCAGCGTGCAAACCTCGCTGAGTCTTCGCAGGTTTCATTTAGCCCAACAGCACCTCGAAGTCAGTGCCGATCTCAGGGAACTGGTAGGTCTTGGGGAAGTAGCGCCTGGCAGCCGAGGCCAACCGAGGTCTTTTGAAGTCGAAGTCCGATCCCTTCCGGATCGGATCCGGTTCTAGCCTCGAGTTCGGTGAATGTCCACCTGCGGATGTTTCAGGATGTCCAATCAACCACCGGTGTGACTATTGCATTGCTATCGCAAAAAAACACATATACCCAACAAGCTCCTGTCCCGTCCCGTCCGACGCTCCGTCCCGTCCGGAGCGTCGGACGAACAACCACTCCGTCCGGGTCGGACCGTGCGGACGGCCGTTCGGACCGCGGATTCGATGATGGCAGGGTAGGGATATGGTGGGATATACATGGGTTTGTCTTCGAATTACACGTGTCCAGTGTATGTAGGACTGGGGTGTTCGACCTAGGCGAAGCATACCCCGAAGCATACCCTCCGAAAATGCTACACTTTAAAGATCAAGTCTTTAAAGTCTTCACACTGCGCGAAGCATACCTCCGAAGCATAGCCCACAGTCAAACGTCCCGGCCAAGGAACTTAAAAAAGTACCAACCCATGTGGCTGTGGGTCAAAGCTAAGACCCCGTTGACCCACAAAAATGCGCAGCACTGAAGAGGTCAACCTACCTGGATCATCTGGGCTCCGGGTGCCATGGCCCACAGCTCGTGCCGCGATCCAGTTCAGGATCCGAAAAAGGATTGAAGAGGTTTTCCTAATTATATATGTTGTCCTTTTCCTTTCACAACGAACATCAACGAACTATATGAAGCTTTTTCGTCTATATACGTACAAATTATTCATTCACATTGTAGCTGAACCAACCAGTGCATCCACTGTGAACTTTTCCGCCCAACGTGTGCTGCTACGGACTTGGCATCCTCAGCCCACCTGCTGTCGCGCGAAGCGTCGCCACTTTCCGAGGACGTCTTCATGTACCTGAAAGCACGGACCGGGCACTAGCTGAATGTGACGTCCTCAAAGACTCCAAGCTAAGATAAACTAGAGAAAACCTTAAGACAACCCAGGGTCCATGTCTTTGAGTCTTTGACAAGGTCCAAATTGCTTGGATTTTCTGGTCAGTTTAGATGCTTTGACGGTTTGGGATTAGAAGCACTGATTAGAAGAGCCCGGAGCATGCAAGTACATGTCATGTCATCCCGGCCCTGTGTACAACAGTCACTGAAACCTTGATACATGGGTATGCGATGGTTCAAACCTTTTGGATGCTTTTGGACTCCTATTGCTCTCCAAACATGAACAGAATGACATACGAATCTACAAGGATTTGGTACTCTTCACGAAGCCACCTGGGGCTTCTTGGGAACCTGAGCTGGCAAAACAAGGAAAGCATGGGAAGGGTCGATTTTGGGAGAGGGGATTTGGCACGAAACGCCTGTTTCGCAAATTGGACCACCCTCCAAAAAATCCTCTGAGGCCTAGGAGTTCAGTTAAGTGGTTTGGTTTGAGGGAACATCCCTGGATTGGAGTTTGGAGTTGCTGTGCTCAAGAGCCCAGTCCCGCTCGTGACGGAGTAGCTGAGTAGCTTCGGGGGGAGCCTCATGTCCACTCCACACCTTGACATGGAACCTCAAAACCACTGGGTTCTAGTCCTTCGTAGTCCGAGTTGCTCCAGTCTGCACCGGTCAGCTCGTCTCCACGCCCCGCCCCGCTCGGCTCCCCAACGCCAGCACCGCGCCGGAGGAGATCACGTCTCGCCCCAGGCCGTCCCAGGTGAACTGAGCGGCGCGAGGACTGGCCAACCGACCAGGCACGACCAGGTCGTTGGGCGCCCCATGCGGCTCGATGTAGAGCCCAAACATGATGTTGGGCCCTATATTGGGTGGTTGGTGGTCCAAAATAAAGTATAACTGGAGGTTCTATTTATAGGTATACTGTACAGAACAGTCTTCCTCAGAACATGGCAGCCAGAACGTTGCCACAACATGTCAATGTGATAGCCACATGGTATACGATGCAATGACGTACTATAAGTCATGACACCATATTTCACCGTGGCACCATATTTCACCATGGCCACCATGCTCAATGAAATACCTTGGACAATGCCAGAGCCGAAGCCTCACAGAAACTCGAAGCTGAAGCCCTTTTCGCCCCAATGAAACGCTATGGACCTCAAAAAATCGTTGGAGCCTGCAAGCCCATTCTGAGGCCATCATTTGGAGACCTGTCATTTCTTGAGGTGTTGAGGCCATGTGTCAATCGCCTCTTCGGCTTGGAAACCAAAAAAAGCAGAACTATCTAATTACATGCGTTTTCCTAGGGTCCAACGCATCAACCTATCGACCACCCTGCTTCGACCACGGCGTGGTCGTCGGTGACCGCCCCGAACCAAGCCACATGGTCCAAGAACCGCCTGGTTTCAATTAGAACCACCGAGAGCCACAATGTCCGGCTTCAATTGCTTCAGTCAGCTTCTAACTACTAGTAGTAATGCACTATAATGCACTTGTTCCTAGTAGCGATGCCCCCGTCGGTGGGGATCTCTCTGCAGGGCCAAAACCGGATCTTTCGGTCACTCGGTCAGCTTCTTGAAAAAGAATCCAAACGACCCCAAGTCGAATACAGCGGGAATTGGGTGAACTCAAATGCTAAGGCTGCTAGTAACAAGGGCATCGCTACTAGTAGCTAGAAGCTACTATAGTAGCTCCTGGCATCACTATTAGTAACAAGAAGCTATACTAGTAACAAGGGTTAGCTGTTCGATTTTGGGTGGCAAGAAAATCCCGCTCATATCTGTGGACTAGATGGTCTCGGGGATGGGTTTCTCTGGGGAGGCTGGACCACACTCAAGGTGCACTCTCCCAGACACATGGAACCGGAAGATGATTAAACTCTTCTACTGCAAACTACAAACAGTTTTTAATTGTTCTGCTTCCATGCAGGAAAGTCGTAGTGCATCTATCTACTTGGATACTCATGAACCTCCTTCCCTGATGATCAGGCCGACCGTGCCTGGCCTGCAAAAAGACCGTGCCTGGCGCCGCACAGGGTCCATTCTGGACCCAGTTGGTGCAGCTTTTGTCCCTTGGCCCCGCCCCACGTGATGCAATGAGATGTCTTGTTCATCAACAAATGAACAAGCAAAAACATACCAAAACCATGTTCATGCTCATGCCTTGTACATCCTAAATGTCTACGGTTTCAAGATATGGTTCAGCTTCCTCCATTTCACCATAGACAAATAGATCGTTGGCACCATGCACCGTCGTTGGCACCATTGCACTCCTCGCAGTCCAGGGCATCCCATGGTGGGTCCCTAAGAAGAGCCCTAGGTACAGTGGATGACCTGCCAATGCCCTACAACCAAGTGTTGTTTCTTGAGATAATGATATATACACAGTATCACACAGCATTTGATCTGTGCCATCCGGGAATGCTCGCTGCTTGATGTTGTTGGCATGGTCCTGCGACCCACTGCAAAGCAATGCCTTCCTCTTCAATCCTCTTGCAAGGGACAAGCAGTCAATGAAGGTCAGAGACCTTGTTGTTCTGCAAAAGCCCTTGCACAAATTGGTCTTTGCTAGTTTACAGTTTGCATGCGGTCCTTTGCGGCATTAGTCGTTCCATGTCGTGTTGGCAGTGAGTGAAGCCACAGTGCCCATTACTAAACCCTAACAGGTGGTTTCTGGACACCTGTTGCCACCAGGAAACATCTGTTAGAGGGTCCAGGTCAGGGTGTTCCGCTTTCCAAATTCCTGTTGAGGGCGACCCTGTAGCGCCGTAGAAGGGGAACCAAAGCACCACCCAGGACGCATGCCGATTGATGCTCCGGTGGCGCACAACTATACGACCTACGTATAACCCACAGGGCTGCAGGTCATGGAAAACCCAAGCTACTATATGACCATATAACTTTATGACCATGACTTATAGACGGTATGGACTGTATGGACCCACTCAAAAACCGGACCAAAACCCATGGAAAGTCCAAGCCCCGTCCGACGCCTTTGGGGATGTTCGCTAGGCCTGCCACGAAAACTCAAGAAAACAACCTCCGATCGATGAGACACCTTGACTGGCAGATGTAGGTGTGGGAAAGGCCTCGGCGCCGGGCGAGGTAGCCACTCCAGGTAGCTACTCTGGCATCGACTCTCTGGCTGGACCAGGAGCGGTTGTCTGGATGATTTTGATTGAGACTAATCTAATACTACTGTAGCTGCCCTGACACTTCCAAAAGAGTCCCAGTCCGAAGTTCTAAGCAGCATGTCTGAATCATCTCCAAAGAGCCTTATTGGAGGTAACATTGGAAGATAAATTTGTCTCACTCTACACAGATATTGTGGATGAAGTAAATACATCATTACATCACCTGCCCATGCAAACAAACAAATTGAGGAGGTGTTTCAATCCAAATGGGATCAATCAAGAGTCTACATTACATGACTTTCTTTTCAACTTGGATCCATCCACGATCTTCGGGGAGGGGGCGCTCGATCCGCTTTCGACCGCGTCCCATCCGCGCGCAGCGCTCGCTTTCGGTCTCCCGGGCCATGGCGACGATGGAGATCCCGGGGTCGCACAAGAAGCGCTTCACGTCCTCGGCAAGTGGCGCGAGAGAGCGAGTGGCGCGAGAGAGCGAGTGGCGCGAGTGGTTTCTGGCATGGTCGACCATGACGGGTGTTTCTGAGGGACATTTTGCTCTGTAGATGTAGTTCAGAAGGGAAGACAAACATGACGGATACAGTATGTATATACACAGTGTAATTACATATCATATAAGGTCAAATGTTGGATTGACTGTTTTGTGAGGTGGGTGAGGTATTCAAAGATGTCCAGCTGTACATGTAGGAATTAAGATATATGCCTGGCACGCAGTATGCCCAATTGCAAATGTGCGGCTTATCTATGCTTATCTGTTATAATCTCTGGTTTACCTGTTTTCCCATCATGCATTCTACGAGCACTTCTCAGACTCACCTTCAAGATCTTCAGGCAGGATCTAACCCAACATGCCATTGTGGCACAGAACCCGCCAGAAGGCTAATTCTGAGTGCTAGCAACATATCGCCAGTGATGCCACTTCTGTTCAGAGTCCAGCCACCAGAAGCACGCAGCATCTGACACCAGTTCTGCCTTGTTCCAATCTGACACCGGTGCTATCAGCTGCTGTTGCGGCATGGAGGGGCGCGCAACAGCGTGTGCAGCTGCTTGCTTGCTACACGGTTTGCACAGCTTGACCGCAGCCGCCGCTAGCCTCACCTTGGACATCTGAGGACCTTCCGTGCCGTCTTTCGAATGTGGTGCCAAATCTCTTGCCATTTTTGAGGCGTTCGATTCTGCAGCGAAACCACCGATGAAATCATCCAGTCTCTGGTTGGAGTTTCGCCACGAGCATCGCAGCTTCTCATGTTTCCACCCATTCTCCGATGGAGATGAGCAGGTAGAGCAGTGCACCACCAGTTTCAAGAACAACACAAAGACTATTGTAGTCATCAATCAAAGATGTTCCCTTCCCAATCAACCCGTGATATTTCGGCAAAGTCTGAAATGTCTTTAGAGGAACAAAATGCCTCCTGGGCCATGGGAAAGATCTTTCATGTCCTTAGCTCAGTCAGGTGGGTATCCCCTCTCCCGGTCTCCAGTCTGTTCTGCCAAAGCCACCCCGGTGATCTTGTTGAGGCAGGAATCTTGCCAACCTGGGAAGGTGGCCAAAGCGGAAAGTGACACGGCACGGCGCATACTCCAAGGATCCAGAAGGATTGGAGGATGTTTGCCAAAAATCAGCTTCACATCATCCTTTCCTTGGCACCCCACTCTGGACTTTAGAGGCGGTTGCCCTAGGGTTTTGCCCCCAAAGAACACATAATATTATCATTATTATATATATATATATATATCCAATCTTGGATTTGCTTGAGGAACCAGAAAAAAAACATTCCCGAGGTACGGGGATTGACCCACAGGGAACGTCAGGGAATCAAACAAAGCACCCTTAAACTGAAACACATATAGTCCAACTGCGACGTGCCACCATGCCCGTAGCGATCCACCATGCCCGTCCCATCCACGCAAGGGCCATGACTCGATCTGATCGAGTAATGGTCGCGCTGGTCGCGCAGATTTCGCCGGCACCATTCGTCAGTCGAGTGAACTCGCCATCGGTCGGAGTTTGCGCTCCCAGACCATCCATGTATGGAAAATACATTTGGGTCATAAATGGGTTAAATGTATGTAAGACATGGATGGTCTGGGACTCTTCAGCCCAAACGCCGATGCCTCCGATTATTGTTTCATATCACTCTGCGCCACTTGAAGACTTCCGTTAAAAAGTCAAGCCAGAAACATGGATTGAACAAAAAACACGTGTGCCCACATGTGTTTGGTCACTGGACACAGATTGGACATCCGTGTTGTCACAGTTTCCAGCATGCTCCACCCAAACCATTGTCCTCTACCAGTTGGGCGTGACATGGTTAGCCGTCTCTCATGCCCCCCCGACGTGGCAAATTGCGCAGGCCCTCCTCGATTTGCTGAATGTCCTGGATCCATGTGATCTCGTCTTCACGCATGGCTGAAGCATTTGTTTAGCCAACATCAAATGGATGGCAATTTCTGCCAAAGTAACTATATATATATACTCAAGGATTCGAGTTCATACAGTAGCTCCAAAATAGAACCTCTGATCACTTGACACCATGGTGGGATTCCGGTCCTCTCATGGAAACCACAAGAGACATGGGTCTGGTGGGGAGGACCTCAGTCCCACATCTATGCCATTGATGCCTTACACCTTACACCTTCTACACTCATCCTATGCCCACTGAAATGCCTTGCGCGTGCTCAGAGCCGAAAAAACTCAGATGATTCACTGATGGACTCCAGGGGCCCACTGACTCTGGAGGAGACTTCCATGATTGCCACACGAAACAAACAGGCCACACGCTGCAAACACCCCTCCTGCAAAGCTTTCTCGTCCATGATGTTCCCGTTCTTGGCGCGGTAAAGCAGCTGCAAATCCTGCCACCGGCCGAACTCAAGCATACAAGCAAACGAGCCAAATAGGAAGGCAACAAGTAACGAGCCAGTGGGCATGGAGTGGGATGTCACCCCAGTTACTCTTCAAACAGTCAATAAAAAACGATACAAATTGGAGTCCCATCCACAGTCGGACCTTCCCAGTGACCGAACTTCTATTGACCCACTCGTGACCGGTCCAGGAAGACCGGTCCATCGTTGTCTGGAGCGATGTCCCAACGGTCCATCGATGGGCTACATCCGTTGCGGTTGCGGCACGAAAGCCGCACGACTGTTGTGAATCCAAGTGATCTGCATCCTCTGTTGCACCAAATCTCCTGGTGCGCCTCATCCTCCCTTGATGTGCCATGATGTGCCTGTATATCCATGTACCGCTCAATGTAATATGAAGTAGTCTACCAGCTGGCCTTCTACGATTGGACTATGGGCTGATGCTGGAAATGCAAGTGTTCACCCCACTTCATCATCAAATCCATGTTAACCTCCGAATCCAAGGAACCTGGCAGTGGAGTTTGTATCGTTCGAGCACTTCTGACAGCTTTCAGTCTCTGATCACAACAGCAAGTCAGGTTAACCTGATGACAGGATCGGTTTAAGAAGGACTCACAAAGATTCGAACGAAACCCATCCCAAACGCAAACTATAGAAGTTGTGAAGCAAGCAAGAGTACAACGCAAAACCAACCAGATCCCAAATTCGCTCTTTGTCACGATGTCCTTTCTGAGGAAAAGTGTCTTCAAGCGCCGGCCTTCCCAGCCAAGCAGCAGCAAAGAAGCGCTAGTTATGCAACTATGATAATACAGCAACAAAGGCACCATGATCTTGCAAACTGAAAATGGTTGACACATGTTGACACCACACAGGTCAGGTGGGCAAGGTGCAAACAAATAGATACTTGTCTCAACGGTTTATACTATCAAATGCCTGACTCTACTTGCGGACTGCAGCAACCCAATGATCTCTTGGGCTAACACAACATCGGTTTGCTCCGTCCTTCATCGTGTCAGTCCTTCCAAACAATCACAAGTCTTTCGCCCTTAATAAGAAACATGGCATGGCCGGTGAAGAGTAAGTGGATCTCGAGGTAAGACAAGGTCCTGGATTCGGGGATGGGAGGCACTGATGAAGTTGGGCCCAACTTCAGTTGTCACAGGGTGAGGATGAGCAACAACATATTATGCAAACAACGCAAAAAGTTGTTGTCTGCATCACCTGAAAAGCACCCCAGCAGTGCTAGACCATCAAAACAGCGGTTCATGAGCTCAAAGAAAACCAGCTGCCACGAAGAGTAAAGCTTTGCCGCCCGGCACCAGCACATCCTGCCTGGGGCTGACGTCCAATTCTCCTGGCCATCGGCCCACGTGTCAATGCGAAAAAAAAGACATGTCTGAGATGTTCTGAGCTTCTGCGTGCAGTAAGGGCAAGGGCTTACGGATCAACAGAAAAGAAACCATTGTGGGATGTTGTGGTCTAAAGTCTCTGTTTTGGAGCAATTTCATGTATCCAAGCTTCTCAGAAAGCTGAAGAACGACCAAGCACAAATATCAAGACATCTCAGGAACTGCATTCACGCCCTTCCAGCCAGCTTCATCAGCTCAAGCACAAGTCCTACTCTCAGAGTTCGCAAATGGAGTCCAACCTCCTACGTTTCGTGTCATGCTTTCACCATACCCAAACCCCTCCTAACGGTTATCCTTATAAATGGATCTGTTTTGGGTCGTCCATGCCGCTCCAGGCCTTGGACGCCAAGCTCTATCAGAGGAGCATAAGGTATAACAGTCTAGATCTGTGACCAATGGGGCCTTCCAAGTTGTCGAACTCATGCAAGTCTGTTGGTGTCAATGGCAGTCATAGATTAGTTATAGTTGAGGCCTCCAAAAGCTTGAATGTGAACAAAATACATCAAAATACTGAGTCCTGAGCGATATGATTCTATCAATTAGGATTTATGGGCCGTTGGGTTTTGACATGTGGACGATTGTGGACGTGTATTATTTTAACGTCCCCTGGGCTTTGTTTTGTTTGACGATGGGGTATGTTTCGGAGGTACGCCTTGCCGAGAGTAAGTCGAACATCCCAAACCCCACCTACACACGTAGAAAAAAAGTACAGACCCATGTTTTGACTCAGTCACTCACTCACAGCCAACCAATCCCGGGAGGCCTTGAAGTTCACTGACGAACGTCTTGACACGGTCCTTTCTATGAGCTCTTAGACCCCTCGCACGAGCTTGGGCAGAAAACCAGACCGTACCAAACTCAACTCTCTTCTGGCGAAGAAGCACCCATGCTTCACAAATTGCATTCCGCATTCCTCATTTAGGAGAGAAACTCAAAAAGAACGACATCGAAAGCGAAAGACTTGACTGGAGGATTCGGTCACAACCCCCGCAGTCGTCGCAACTCAGGTCGGGTGTACCGGCTCTGGCTCTAAGCGCCTGCCGTCCTGGTGTCCGAGCGAAGGTTTCAGAGCGAAGTTGGAGGGTCAAATCAGTCTGGACTCCTTGGAGATCGGGTTGGTCATCTGTTCGAGGGGATTTGCCGCGGCGGGGCGCAAAGAAGATGGCAAAACGCGCGCAAACGGCGCCCCAATGCTTCCAACGGGATTCCCAGGGACGTCCTTTGTGGCATGGAGTGGATTTGGTCGGTCCGGTGGTTCGAACGTGCCGTCTCTTGTGGTTTCAACCGAGAACGTGTGAGAGCAGTCCGTTGGACGAGTCAAAGAAGTGCCCGTCAAAAGCGCTGAAGAACGAGGATTCGAAGAGGTCAGGAGGGAAGAAATGATTGGAAGTGATCGAGAATCAGGCTGATCAGGAAGAAAAGCCTCCCACAACGGGAGACTTTGGTCATGAAGGAAGCAATCCTGCAGCACCCAAGACAGCGAATTATTGCAGTGCTAATATGGTTTCTGTCGTCATTATTTTGGAGCTGAATGGTCGTGATCCAGGATGAAATCAAAGAAACACATGGTTGGGCTTGTTGGCTTGGAGCCAAATCCTGTTATTTTGATAGACTCTGAAAAAGACCTCCCACATCCTCCGGTTTTCTCTGCTCACTCATCCGCCCTCCTCACTCACCCGCCCTGAAAAAAAAGACCTCATCAGCCTCTGCTTCCACCCAATCTCCATTGACCTGCCGATGGGCAGGGATTCTGGGAAGCACCCTCTGAGAGCCATTTCAGGCCGGGGAAAGTGGGAGGATATGCAACAAGTTCTCCTGAAAGGGCAACCCCAACCCAGGTTGCCATTCGTGCTTGGAGAGAATCATCAATGCTCAGCACTTCGC